TGTATCGTCCTGAAGCCTTGTGCAGAGCTTTGTCCCGTATGTGACGGCATGAGCCGCCTGATGTCATGGGGTGTTGGACTTTCGTGGTAGATCATGGAGTTCATCACCCCGCTTTTGTTTGTGTTTGGCGGGTCATATGTGAGACGACTTTTCGGTCCAAAGGACTGGTCGGTTACATCTCACCTACCCAGCCCCGACATGCTTGAGCGCATACTGGCACTGTTGTCACACCTCTACCAGATTTCTGCGCCAGGCTTTTCCTCTTGAATTCGCTTGCTAGTGGTGCGTTCGCGTCGGACCTTGCACCACCGGAATAATAATATAATTCCTTAGTGTTCCTGGATATGTTATATACTATAGTATACGCCAACAGCGTAGTGTAATTGTTAACTTTGACTTCTTGAGGCCGAAAGTACACCGCTCAGAGCAAATTAGTTGCCCTCCGATGTCTGTTAATCTTCGCATTGGATCGCACTGCAGAAGGCGTATCTCCACCTCTGCCGGTCGGTGACTGCGCAGCTCTGATCCCTAAACCTCAATCTCTAAACCCAGTCCCCAAAGCCACATCTCCAATTAAACCCTCATCCCTAACCCTAAACCTAATCCCAAAGGCCTCATCGCTCAACACACCAGCTAGACGAAGACACTCAAAACCCTAGAACACCAAAGCGGAAACTGTTTGGAGCCACAAAGGAACTGTTAAGGTCGATTCCTTCCACGAAAGTCGTGAAACACAAATGATGACAACAAACGTTAAAGCCAGTTTAAAACCTTGTGGCAACCTTATGCAAAGCCTTTTGATTTTTGTTGCAAGCTCCATGGCAGCCCTATGCACAGTTTTTGTTGAAGCCCTTCTGCGGCCCTTGGATATCCCCTAACCCTAAACCCTTAGCCCTAAACCCTAAGCCCGGCCCTAAACCCAAAACCCTTTTCCCTTAAGCGTATCCTTCTGAGACAAGGTCTGACGTTGGCCACGCCAGTTTGCTCGTCGGGGAGACAGCCGAGCCCGGGCGAGGTTTGGCATTTAACCCCAGCACAGTCCACGACATTCCGTCATATTCTTTTTAATTTACACTCCATCAAGTACTTCACCTTGCATTTCACTTCACTGCATCCCGCATCTTTCCATTACATTCTACTGCACTCCATTACATTACATTGCATTACATTACATTACACTACATTTCAGCAACTTCCATCACATGTATTTGTAGTCCGTTAGATTCCGTCACCTTCCGCTACGTTCCAATATGTTCCAATATATTCCATTATACCGTCCATTACTCCATTAGATGCCATTATATAGACGCTATTTCATTCCACTCCGTTCCAGTACCTTCCTTTACATTACACATCATTCTGTTCCATTCCACTGCTCCTTTCCATTCCTTATGGTACATCCCACTTAATTACAGTACATGACGCGCATGCGTACATACATGCTTGCCAACTTGCCTACAGGCTTGCATACGCAGGCGCGCACATCAATGTACATGAGGACTAATTACTCGCAGGCCGCAGTGTCGCATGAGGGCTCTCACAAGGCGGGCTCTGGGAGTTTCCAATATTTGATGAGGCGGGATCTTTTCGCAGTCTCCGAATATTAGTAGCAGTGGTAATTATGACAGCCCGACTACGGCAACGGCCGCGACGACAACAACTACAACCGCACGGCAACAAGAAAGTATACAAGCAGTATTGATGCCAGTACCATGGCACCAGGTGGAATGCGCATATCGATGATGGTCCCGCCACTACTCGCAATAGGAAGAGGCACAGCATCAAACCTTAACTACCCTTCGGGCAAGCCGTAATGCCCTCAATCCAAAAGTTTCTAAGCTTCCCAAAGGCACGCATACACGGACAAAATTCAGAAAAAAACGTCCTAAACCATTGATACCCAAGGCCTTGAGCCAAATCCGCATGAAAAGCATCCGCGAGATCTTCCACCATGTATTTCCTATGTGAAGCAAACTCCAACATCTTCAAGATGCTGAACCCTAAACCCTAAGCCCTAAACCTTGAACACTGGGGCTGAAGGGGTTTAAGGAATGGGGAGTGTTTTGTTTCCGAGGGCTCTGGTTCATCTTCAGCCCTGCGCATCCTAAACAGCTCGGAACCCCCTCAAACACCACTGCACACATAGCCAGTTTGTGAACTGGAACTCACAAGAATCCAGGTTAAGGGCTCATAAAGAGGCTGGCGACGATTGAGGACTTACGGCTTGTAGGGTTGAATATTCCTATTAAGCCCTGCGTAGAACCAGAGGCTTCTTGTGTCTGACCTCGGGCTTTGCGGGGCAGTCGAAGCCCAAACCTTTACACCCCAACAGTTTCGGAAGTGTGTCGCCGGCTGGATGATTCCTTTTTTGCGCCGCAGCCAAGACAGCACGCTGTTCAGAAGGTTCAGACTTGCATGGGGCGGCCATGTACCCAAAGCTTCAGGCACGGGCGAATCGACATCCTGTCTAGAACTGCTTTTCTAAATGCAACTAGATCCCAGAACGACTTGCCTCGATGATGACGGCTGCTTCCTTCGCTGCCAGTTCACATGAGAATGTGGGCACACAAGACCAGCCGAACATGCTCGGAAAGGCTTCCGAAAGTTACCTCAGCGACAGCGACCTTGAAGACAAAGCCAGAGACAGCCACGACGGGGGTGCGGACCATGAAATCATTGTAGAGCCCATGCCATCCCGAATCCCGTGGGGTGCCGCAAGCATGTCAGCAGCTTACCTAGGGCTCGGCCGGAAGAGTCTTCGTGAGGCTCTGCCTAGCAAACCTTGCTGGGCTGTAGCCCTGTACATGGGCATCTTTCCTTCTCCCATGATGTTTGTGGTTGGACAAGTCTTGCCCGGTCAGTGGCTAAGTCAAAACGGGAAGACGTACCTCAGTAGCATGGGCCTTGGAAGCATGCTCCTCATGATTCTTATCCCATACCTCACCTTGGCGACACTGCTCGAGCACATGGCCCAGAGGCAGAACGACGAAGGGGCCATCATCGCGAAGCTCAACGAACAAATACAAGCAAGCGATGTCAAAAAAGCTTTTGGAGATCACCCCAAATTGGATCTGTCGAGGCGTCTACGAGTTTACAGGATCTGCGCGCGCGCTCTGCTGAACATCTTCTTGTTCTCTTATTCCCTCGCTTCTCTGGGGCCCCGAGATCCCGATGAGCCTCTGAATCAAACTAAGCATGTGCTTGCCTGGCTTGAGTTTTTCGGCATCTGGACCCTAGCCCTCCTCTTTCTCTTGAAGCCTGTGGTCGTTCTAAATGCCCGGTTTCTTGAGATACCGGTCTTCGCATTGTACAGGGCACAGACCGTTCGAGCCTTGGCAAACTTCTCAGCGCTAGCGCTGCTGCAAAGGGCCAATCCGCAGCTTTGCTTTGACAGGATGGCGCGTGCTCCCAATGCAACCGTTCTTCTTGCAGAGGTGGTCTCATCCCTTTTTGGTGCTGCGCTGGGTGTCGCAGCAATGGTGTGCAAAATCAGCACCACAGCCTTCATTGCGAACACATTGTTTTGGGACTGGGACATACTCCAGTGGCTGACTTTAGCAGGGCTGCTGAACAACATTGCAGGTCTGCTACAAATCGAAGAACTGAGGATGGAGACTTGTCGCTTCCTTGGGGCCCTTGGTTTTGCTTGGGGTTTGGGTTTAGGAACAGTGCAACCCCTGGTGCGTCTGTTTTTTGACATTAACTTCTGAAAACAAAAGGTTTGTGCAAGTGTAAAGCGGGGGACGTAAACCCTAGCCCAGGAGACTGCAGCGAGACACTACTGTAATGTCCAGCTCAGCCGAACGACGGACGAGTTTGGCCAGAGAATGGGCAGGATATTTCAGCATGTTCTGCAGAAGGAGCTGAAGGATGCTTATGGGACATACAATGGAGGGTTTTTCTGGCTTGCGATGACCTTCGAGGATGTGATGAGGCTGAGCTTACAAGCCACACGACTGAGCATCCAAACCACAAGCGAGCAGGTCAGACTGAGTGCACATCGGGCCCAAGAAGTTCAAGCACAGCAAGCAACGGAGTAGGCTTTCAGTAGAAAGCATATTGATTGGCTATGGTGGGAATCCAGAAAAGAGTCTCATGCTGCCGTCGGGAATCAGGGGGGTTTCACGCTCTTCAAATGGGAGCTTCTCGCCGTAAGTCCCTTGGAATTTTTCGGCGGATCCCTAGTGGCGCCTTCGAGAAGCTCTCAGCCAAGTCTGTTTACGGACCCGCTCTGCACGGGTGGTCTGGGGTTTCCGGGTTGAGGGTCTAGCGCTCCAGTGGTGTGGAATGTCTATAGCACCCCCTTTAGGCCTCTCGGGCGTTGCCCAGGTGCAGAGATTTTTTTTTTGAAATTAGCATGGCAAGTCTTGGCAGATGTGGGCAACCTTTCATAATTGCACCCTCACTGCGGCGATTGCTGGTTCTACTTAGTATTATTGTTACTTTTGTTACCACCCCCTCCACCACCACCAGAGCACCTAACTGCGTCTAACCACAGCGACTAACCCAATACTTTCGGCCGAACCAGCAGACCCATATGACTCATACGACCTGCTGGACCTACCTACTATGACTAGACCACCCATGCTGGTGAGAATCTGCCTCTTGCCCTGATTGCTCGGCACTTGTAAATGACTGCCTTAGCATGTGCTTATGTCTGCTGAAGTCAGCGCAGCAGACGCGGCCATGCTTGCTCGGGCTCACTCACGAAAAATGCAGCTGAACGATGATCGCAGAAGCACTAGCTGGTTTGTTCTGCAGAATGTAATAGTAAAAGCATTCGGCAGCCGAGTTTGGGTGCTGCCCGGAGCACACGTCCAGAGAAGCCGAAGGCTTCGATGTCCTGAGCATCCGCTCACAAGCGAGGCCTTGGGGCGCGTTTGAACCGCAACAGATACAAGTTCTCGTCTGCATGGTGGTGGCCAGTACTTCAATGTTCCTCATCAGTGTCTCTGCGAGCTAGGTGCTGGCGACTTCTCTCGAGAGAAGGGGTGCTTTGATGCTGCCTGTGGAGAGCCAGGTCCCCAGCTGAAGTGGAAGCCAAAGTGCAAGTGCATGCGCCATCAACTGAGACTGTCACCCGTGTGAACTGCAGCCGCTACCCAACTAGCAAAACCAGCCAAAGTAGGCAAACCTGCCAAAGTAGCCAAACCTGCCAAAGTAGCCAAACCTGCCAAGGAAGCCAAACCTGTGCCCAGTTTAGCTACTTTGGTGAGTTTGGCTACTTTGCCTACTTTGGCAGGTTTGGCTACTTTGACTACTTTGGGCAGGTTTGGCTACTTTGCCTGCTTGGCTACTTTGCAGGTTTGGCTATTTTGGCAGGTTTGGCTACTTTGGCAGGATGGGCTACTTTAGCTAGTTTGCCTACTTTGGCTAGTTTGGCTACTTTGGCAGGTTTGGCTACTTTAGCTAGTTTGCCTGCTTTGGGTAGTTTGGCTACTTTGGCTAGTCTGCCTACTTTTGCTAGTTTGGGTAGTTTGGTCTCAAGCTATTAGCTAAGCTAGAACAAAACCAGACGTTCACATTATCCCTAAAGGTTTATCTTTCATATACATATATATATATATGCATCTAGCATGGATGCCGGTCACCGAGCCAAGCTTCCGAACTGTATGGAAGTTCGATATAGAGCATGATGGCATTTATCGGATTGTCATGTAAGATGTTGGATGCATCAAGTACCGATGCCGGTTGACAAGCCAATCTTCCCAAATATATGGAAATTCAATATTAAAATATATCAGGGCATGTCTCAAACTTTTCGGGATTATGTTTGTGCAATGTATAACTTATATGTAT